AGGCCGAGACAATGCCGGGGTTGAATAATGGTTGAATAACCAAAAGGCCCTTCAGATGATCTCCTGTCACTCCTGCGTACTGAAGGGAGAAGGTGGCGAAGTGAGAAGCTGTTTAAAACTTGAAGAATATTATTAAAAATGGCCGGAAGGTTAGTAATCAACTCTTTTCTTGCCCATGATAGCTAATGAAAGTAAAACAGCTTTGAAGAGACTCTATTTACATCGGAAGGTGAGAAATAATTGTTGATGTACTATTTAATTGATCTTCGTTAGCCTGTGTAGCAGGCGTGGGATAGAAGGATGTTTAAAATGTGTTCAGATGTTTAACATATTCATTTCGCTAATTTTGTGGTAGGAAAAACATATTTTGATTTATTTTTTCATATCGCTTGAAAGAAGCATTGCAATCAGTCACAAAGGGATCTTTGAAAGAAAACTTATTACAAAGGTAAAACAAATCAAACAGCCCTATAACAACACCTCTAGAACAAGGAGAAGGGAAAGACTGGGAATAGCACGGAAATTTCACCCACATCCAGGTTAGTTTTAACCTTGATTTTGCTTGCATAGAGGTCGTGTCAGATAGAACCACGCACCAGCAAAAGGTTCTTCAGATAGTTGAAATTAGGCAACTGGCCACTTGACATTTTCTCGGTGATAAATTATAAATGGCCTGATCTAGTCGGAAAAGTGAAGAACAAGACAGGAAAAATAAGACTTTACCTAAAAAGTTTCTACCAAATTCTGATGTGATTAACTCGCTTTACAGAACAACTCGTTGCAAGGGTTCCTTGAAAGTGATAACGACTTGAACTGCAGGTAAGTCTCACGAATAAGGATGACTCGTCCACTGTTTATTTATTCTATTGTTCTTAGCCATGGTAAAATAATATTTGATGGGAAGACCATTTTGTAAGGTGGGAAAAACGTTTCCTTGTTCCCCTGAAAGTGTTTTGTTAAAAGCCGTGAAATTGATACTAGACAACTTATTCTTAATTTAACCGACTAATTCTATTGTTTTCGATTGTGTTCTTTGACGTTTACATTGTAGATTCCCTCACGGGGTTTCTGAAGTAACGCCGCTTGAAACTAGAAATCAAATCATTATTGAGTAACCTTAGACGGCCGGCTAACGAGAATTTTGGCCTACAATTCAAAAGATAATGAATTATTTTCCCTAGTTCTGGGTCTTCTAAAGAATCAAAATGAACTATTCTAGGAAAAGACGAAAATATCTGACGGAAATACACTGATTCGTTTTAGACTGATACTTAAGTAATACACAGTGTTTTAATTCAAAGATATCCTATTTTGATGGTGTTCCATTTTTACTTCCTTTTTGTCTTTGTCTTTCAGAGTGTCCTCCTTTATCTTGTGATGAATGCAAGTACCTTCATTGTCGCTCTGGCGATAATACTCTCCTTGTCTCAAACAGCAGGTTAATATTACACTCCATCAACCATATGATCTGCCTGTGAATAATGTTCGGTCCATTTTAGAAATAAGTACAGAGGAAAAAAATATTTTGATATCTTGCTGGCTTTACACATGATCATGAGAGCAGTAATAAGTACCATGAAAAAAGTCTTTTTATGAACAACCGTGTCAATTTATCATATACTGTCGCTCTTTCTATACAAAACATTAAACGCGTTCTTAGTTTAAGCGCTTTTTAAGCTCATGAAAAACATATTACAGTATAATCGACATTTTTGTTCAGTACAGAGACGCTTTTGTTTAACTGTGATCTTTGTAACTGGTTCATACATAACACGGACAACGTATTACAATGCTGCTATTCAACAACTAAGGAGCAAACTATAGCCAATAATCACTCACGCAAATACGCTTCTTTCACGTTTCCCAACGGCTCGCTACCTACTGATAAAGAATAAGTCTTGTGATTATTGGTGTGATGTGATAACGTTGGTTTTGATTTTACGATACCGAGTCATCAGAGCTCTGCTGTATTTAACAGTTATTCACGTCAGTTATTCGCTTCTTCTCTGGAAATATCGATGTTCGAAGGAAAACAAAACTAACTTTTTTCGCTTGGGAACAGAAGTTAAGTTTTTTATCATGTAGCTGGATTTAAATAGTAATAAAGCAAGAGGAATTACCCCCTTGTCAAAGTAACTTCTAGCAAGCGGGAGAGCGGGCGACATTTAGATTAAACCATTGCCACGTGACCATAATCAACAAATAAGAGCGCGCGTTAGATTCAAATAAACTCATAAACTCCAGCTGTATAACAATGGTGAATACTTGTCGAGAGGGAGTCGCAGTGTTTTACTGAGCCTTAGGCGAAGTATAATGAACAGTTTAAGTATCATTTTCGGAGGTGAATATCAAGATCTCAGATCTTGATATTCTTGACAAAATAACGGACTAAAACATGGAAACAAAGGGCCCGTACGCTCTAGGCTAACAAAATTTGTTTGGCTCTGCCATATGGCTCTGCCAAAGCTCTTAGCAAAAATTGTCATATTTTCAATTTGGTAAACGTGGGTGCACTCAAAAACATTAAAATTTTATTGACCACAGAGTGTCAATCACATAGCGAGAGAGTTCAAAGCGAGATCAAATTTACTTTATTGACGTTTTCCTTCACATCACGGCGTGTAAATTTAAAAATCTGACAGTTTTCTCAGCTGGCAAAACTTTTTCCTGCTTCGAAGCAGGAGGCCGGCGCCCTTTAAGTTTGGTAAGGTTCGACAAAATTTGGTAGGAAAAAAATCACGGTGGGCACAGATTTTTTCGCAAAATTAACACTGACATTTGCCTATTTGCATGCGTACGGGCCCAAAGTCGCATTATTCGGTTGCATACATTTCAGGTTGATCTGATTTTTATTTAATGCATTTCTTGCTTCAGTCATAGCAGCTTACCAACGAATCAACGTTCTCACTTTTAGAAACTGCTCGTCATACCCAAAGAAAGAGAATCAACCCGAAGTCACATGGAAAAGTTGTGTCCAGAGGCAAACACAGAATCTTCGGAATAAAGCAGGAACCTCTCGACGAGAAAACTCCATCTCGTAAGCAATTGGCATACAACGAGGCGAGCAGTTCTCTGATAAAGAATAAGCTAGACGATAGTCTAGGAAGAATTCCCTGGAGTAACAATCAGCAAGACGTAGCTTCTTATGTTGACGGAGCAGGAGGCTTATCACAACAGAAGCTGATGTCCATCATGAATCAGTTAACCAATGACATCAGAGTGAACGGTCGGAGGATTACTCCACTCCAAACGCAAATAGTACAGCAATCATCAAATGGCATAATCAACCCGACATCACCCATGAGCGACATGCAGGATGAGATGCAACCTGATATGCAAAACAACGTGCAAGATGATTTGGAGAGCAATAAGCCAAATGACATGCAGAATGACATGGCTGGGAATGAAATTAAACCTATAGTAATACCAATGAACCAGAATTCGAAGGGAAGTAATGGTGAACAAGCGACGAGACCTGGAATGTTTGAGCGATTAATGTTTGGTGGACTCTCCCAGATTATGGGAGGAGGAGGAGGAGGAGGAGGAGGAGGAGGAGGAGAAGGAGCAGGAGGAACGGAGAATAAGGGCTACTCTGATTTTGGTGGTGGAATGACTAACGTACCTGGATTATCATTCGGAGGACCTAACAACAATGGAGTCATCAACCTTATGGAAAGCGAAAATGGACTTAAGCCAATGAGTGGAATGAGAGGTATGAATGGAATGGGAGGTATGAATGGAATGCATGGTATGACGAATGGCATGGGTATGATTATGAATGGAATGGGTCGAATGAGGGGACGAACGTGGGGAGGAGGCTCATTTTTCTCCAGGAGAGGAGAAACCATTTCCCACAAGCAGAAAGCGCGAACAAAACACAAGTCATTTGACCAGAAGGCCAAGACGACATTCTCCACATCAAACAAACAGGCAAATAAAACCCATCAAGCTATTCCTGACGTAAGAATACACATTGACCCAAGTCAGGGAATTAAGCAAGACATTATACCATCAATTCCTAATGATTCAGTATCTGGAAAAAGATCTCATTCAACTTCAAAATTAGAAGTAGAAGATTAAAAGAAGACCGTACGTTTGTAACTGAACATTCAGTAAGGTGGACCAAACCAGGGACTTGCTGGTGAATAGTAGTTGATATGTCAATTTTGCAATGTTTCCTGTTTTAATTTCATGAATTAAAACAAGACTTGATTCAGGTCTCTAACAGATACTTAAAAAGCCAAAAAGGCAGATCTGGAACTTTATTTAATATTTTTAATATAAAATACAGGAGTAAAGATGAATTATAAACACCTTGAAAATGTTTGCTTCTTTCAGTTTAAGTGTCAAGTCTGTGAACTAGCTAGGTGTAGCTAAGCGCACTGATCACTACAAACAAACATTTTTTAAACAAATTTACTCGTAAACAATATATATGGACTCTTCGAAACTGTTCGAATGCTACACTGTAGAAGCGTGTTAGTTTCCTTACGATTTGTGTAAGAGGTCAGAAAAATGTGCAAAGGGAGACATCGATCGTATGAAGACCAAATTCCCCAAATCGTCTCCATTACCTTATATTTAACTTTTTTATGTTTATTGAGTAATCCATAATAAACAAACTTCATGAAAATTGGACCTGCGCTGTTAAACTACTTTGAAGTGAACACTAATAGCAAAAGCGTCATAATTATTCTTATAATTTCAATCTTAGATAGGATAGAGAAGTGACAAGGAGACGATCTCAGCCAAATGCATTTTTAAGCTGCCATTTACTGACGTTCTCATGATATCCATTTGAGCAGTCGTTTTATCTTGATCTTTCGAATGCCATTCATAAAGTGAAGTTAAAATACACAACTTTTTCTTTTCCTCAAGAATTAACCGAAATAACCGAAATTAAAACATCACAAATATCAGTTGTATACCTCTAGTTTAGTCAGTGACAATTAAACTACATTTAAGAAATAGAAAGCATGTACCGTGTTTCTATCGAGTTATAGAAACACGAAAGGAAGTTTGGGAGAACGAGAAATGCTGTTTCCACAGCTTTTTCGAGTTCTCCCAAACTTCCTTTCGTGTTTCTAGAACTCGATAGAAACACGGAGAACATGTTTTCTATTTCTTTTAGAAAACACCGAGACGAAAACAACTGAGGAAAAACAGCTTGTTTACTTTGATCATCAAAATTCTCTTTGCTCGCACCATCATTACTTTAACAGCTCGTGCTAGTTCTGTGTTTCAATCGAGTTATCGAAACACGATTTTTAACCAATCAGCGCGCGTATTTTCTTAGGACTGTTTTCTAATCCTTTATGGAGAAGTCCACAAAGTTTATTTAAAATAAACTGACATGAGATATTGATGAGACGACAAAATGCATTAGTTTTAAAAATAAATCACAACAGTGTCGGTAAACAGGCAGAAATTCAAATTTATCAGAGCGAAATCACTCCTTACTTGGAAATACCATACTGAAACTTGTCCAGATTTGTGTTTACTTTTCAGATCTTGAGACTTCTCTATGCGCATTTTATTCTCTATTTTCATCCAGAAATTAGAGGTGCATTGTGGGGTAATTAAGAAGTCCTTCAGATACTGTAAGGATAAAGTTGAAGTAGTTCCTGATCACCTTGATACTGTGTCCCTTCAATACCTCTTTCTTCAGACTAGTAACTAGTTTCAAATGATTGGCAAGTAAAGTGACAAAAACACATGTCAGAGACATCAGCGATAGCACTTGTAAACGTCCAATTTAGAACGATGCATGCGAAAAAAAGACAGTGTTCGATAACTTCATTACACAGTCGTTATCCATCATGAATTACCTGATTCTCTAAAGCAAGACGTTCTCCTGGTTTGATCAAGTATGCCCTTTTCCTCCAGAGATGTTTGCACCATCAGACAGGGATTCATATCAAATCAGAGCGTATGTGCTCCATTGTTGTTTCACTTGTATTTATAAGTGATTGCTGAGTGACTACCTTGTATCATTTTTTTTTTTCAATTAGTCGGTGAAAGAATTAAGAACCCAACGATTCTCGCGCTAAGGCGCAAGCTAACCAAATATACCGTCAAATCCGTTGTGTTTTGCGGGTACCTTATTGTTGGTGAGGTTTGCAAAGCACTCACATGACTTGAGTGAACAATCAAGAAGCGTATTAAGTTCTGTTAAAAACGTCAAATGGTATGGTAGTTTTCATTGTTGGACCTGGGCGACAGACACGTTTTAGTAGTTAATTATTCATTGCCAAGCCAAAGAAGAAAATCTCTGCAAATAGAGTATGACGTCATTCCATCAACATCTCCAAGAACAAGGAACCCAATGTTTCCTAGATTTGTGCTGGTTATATGGCCGACCAGTGTTCTATTGAAAGAGAAATAATTGTATTTTCACTTTAAACTTCTGTTAAAGCTTAATTACTGGGCAAGGTAAGAAAAAGCTCCATGTTATGATTCTTCACAACAGCCATTCACCTTATCCCAAAGAAGTGCATTTATTTATTATTCGATACTAAGGAAAAATTTTAGATTATGTAAAATCAAATACTAACAGTAGAAAAAGAGCACACATAGAAGTGGACCTGATTTGAAGATTTCGGCTGTGGGATGAGGACCAAAATTGAAGTTCTGACTCGATTCGGTTTAGTAGGTTTGTGATCACTTGGCCTCAGCGGCACTGATGTAAACTCTTTATTCTACCTGTTTGCTTAAAAATCGCTCTTGAAAAATGACCTTTGAAGAGAGTTCTTAAAAAATACCTGTTACAAATTAAGTTAGCTAAAATAGTTCAACAGGAGACAGTGAAGAAAAAGAGTCAAAAATCTTGTGTCAAAAAAACTACAGGCACAGGAAGCCATTTTGCTTCTTTTCAGGAGTTGTTCATCTTCATATGTTTCGTGCTTGATTACACCCAGACTGGCTCAATATCTTCTTGTTTCTTGCTATGTTTTCTAATAGTTGACGAAAGCTACCATGCTACTTAACTGAACGATGACAGAAAACAAAATTATATTTCTTCTGAGCGTGGTACTATACATTGCTGCTGGAACATCCATGACAACAGGTACGTTAAAATTCACCCATCTGTTGAATAAAAACTGGCGTTAATTTGTTTTTTTGGAATAGGGAAGTCATCGGTTTTCGAAAATAACTAACTATTCTGCAATGTGTAGCATGACTGTTACGTGGAAATTATCAGATGAGGTCTTATTCAGTTTTTAGTGCCGTCCGGAATCAATCTTGAATTCTACGTTGAATGTCAACATCGTGCAAAGTTTTTTAAAACTTATTGGCTCAAAGGAAACCACATTTTGAAATCGAGCTCAAAGATTTGGCATTTACTCTTTCATACATTTTTCCAATAACCACCTATTATGTCGTTATCCTAGATCAAAATGGTAATTCTACAACAGAGGTTGCACGACAATTTATTCTTCCTCCGAGGATCCGGCAGATGCCTTTATCAGGCACAATATCGGACAACAATCCATCAGTGCTCGCCTATAGTGGGCTCCCAGGATCAAGTACTGAGGTAACTGCTCAACAGGTTGAGAATCAAATTGACCAGTTGAACAGGCTTAGCCAACAGCTTCGTGGATTGCCCCAGTCGCCATCAATTCAGGAGACAACCAAAGGACCACAGATACCGCTTTCCAACTATGTCCCACAAATCAGCAGAGAAACAGCCCAGAGTGGCCTAGGGAGACCACTGGAAGCTGTTCCGAATTATGTCAAAAATGTTGCAAGAAACCCTTTAACAGGACCCAATGGACTAACAAAGGATGTTCTATCAGACCTGATGTTTGGCAATCTCAAAAGTTTGGCATCCATGGGTGGCTTAAGCAGCGTCAACACTCCAGTGGAAGAGAACACAATGTCAACACAAATGTTTGGAAATTCTGGATTAAGTGCATTTAATAATCCCCTACTTGAAGAAAAGTTGACACACTCGCAGCCAGGAAACCTAGGTATGGGCCTACCCCTCCCACCAAATGAAAATATGGATTTTAATGATCTGCCTATCAATGATTTCGACAACCTGAAAGATTTATCCTTTCTTCGATCAAGACATCACACTAAGAGTAAGCGAAAAAAGAAAAATAATAAATCGGACGTTGTTACAAAGCTACTGTTAACGTTATTGGTTGACAAGTTAAAAGACATATACGAAATGGACAAAATGAATAGCACTCAACGAAAAACACTAAAATTGGACTCATCTACCATAGGAAAAATTGAAAGCACTTTGAATGAACGTAGCAGTTCCGCTTCAAACAACAAAAGCCATTCTGGAAAATACGGTGAAAAAGAGGCCAAAATATCTGAACCTTTTGACACTAATCTTTCCTTTCCACTGACGTTTTCTGACACGAAAGGGGCTCAGGAATCGCTCGTCGACTCCCCGAAAAAAAGTGATAAAGAAGGCAGTTCTTTACTGGATGTCGACACAAAGAACATCGAGAACATAATAAAAGGTATTGAAAACGGCAGAACCGATCCGAAGTCGACCTCAACCAAGGAAAACAGCAGAGTCAATATTGAAGGGCTCAACGCCGATCCCGGAAACAGTCCGCTGGAAATTTCCCAAAAAACAACGAAGACACTCAATAATGACGATTTGAGGCTCGTTCAAACGGGCTCTGCCTCTGCGTTTCATCGTGTGAAAATAGATCCAGTGGGTGTACTAGGAAAGAGTGCAACTATTCCGAGCATTTCGGACTATCATCCGACCATAGATGTACCAAAAATAACCTCTTCTTCTGAAGGAATGTTCGAAGTACACACCGACAAAGCTACAGTATCAGCGTTACCTACGTTTTCTATTTCATCTCTGTTAAACCAAGAAATCCCTGGAAATGTTAAAGGTAGTGATCGAGTTCTTAACACAAATCTGGAAAAGGAAGTCAGCAATGCTGGAATGGATGTGACTGACTCAACATCGGCAAAACTACCAGTCACCAGTACAGCAATGGAAGCTAATCCAAAAGATACAACAACAAGCACTGGTGAAACTGATAGTACAAACTACCTCGAAGCTTCTAGAGTTCTTGGAGCGGTTTTCAACAAAGTGAAGGATCCACTGGCAAGGAAAAGTGTCGAAGTTGCCATCAAAGCTATGCTGAAGTTAATGAAGTCAGACAACACCTATTCCAAAAAGCACTCGGTACCATCAATGAAGAGGTCATGGGTGCTTCAGGAAAAGGTCAAAAAGCTGATGAAAACAATTCATGAACTTTCCGAGACAGTCCATCCTGTAGACGAGGAAGTTTCAAATTCGAAGAAAAAGCATTGGCATGCCAAGAACAGGTTCTATAATAAACGTTTGTCGCAAAGACATACAATCCGTCACAGGCCACATCACAAACGTCATCATCATCATAATCATAATCATCATCATCATCATAAAAGGACATATTCAAAGTATTAGGGAAACTTTGCACTTTATGTCAGGAGCAGTTTAAAATGTTTTTTTAAAATACACTTAATGTTTAACTGCCGGCTTCATCTATAGTCAAGTTAAGGTGGCTGGTAACGATTGACAGCACAAAAAGACACGATCAACAGGTTACCATAGCAATCCTTTTTACTACTGAATATTCATTAGCATGTACGTTTAAACAGGAGATTTTTCATACTTTTAAAATTAAAACAATTAAATGGAAGGATTTCAGAGACGCGCTTAACCTTCGAATATTTAGTTGGCCGTTCAGCTAACATCAACCCATCATAGACCAAGGCTGTAAATCCTTACCAGCCTCTTTAATCTAATGAAAATACAGGGAACAGATTTACATATTTATTTCATCAACATTTGAACAAGCCTTTGATATTTTTAAATCAATATTTATATTAGTAGAGTTAATGAAGATGTACATTGAAGATATTTTTATGCTTTGTATCCTTTATTTAGAGACTGAACGTTTCTGGCGTTTTCTCTCTTAAATAAAACTACCCAGTGTAAGAAAAACGGAGGCCATTTAAAGCTATCGGAAGCGACTATGTACATCATCGTGAACGAGTTGTGTTGTCTATCAAGACAATGCATTTCTAGCCTTCTGAACTGATTCTCAGTTACCAGACATCATACCTGGGAAAATGAGCGCGGTAAGTGTCGCTTAGTTCTTTTGGAGGTTAAGGAAAGTTCCGTCGGAAAATCGCTTGAATTAAAGAACAAGAGATTTGGTGGAGATAATACCTCAGAAATAAGGAAATGATGGGTGATGCGTTCCCGGAAAGTCACACATTTTCACAATTAACTCCGAACCTACTCCTTAATCTACCGACTTGCCCATGGCGTAAAATCTTCAGCAAGGCTGTTATTTCGGATCTTCTCCTTACCCTTTGGCGTTCGTCACAATTTCCCCGAATATAGACGACTTTTCAGGAGGTTGTGGAAGGTTAATTTGGAAGAAAATTTTCATCTTGCTTACTTTCCTGAGATTAAGCTCAAAAGTGAATAACGCACCACAAAATCACTTTGTTTACCAAACTTTCCACGTTGTCTTGTCGATTAAAATAATTATTCTAAACACCCTTGTTGGACACGTGGTCGGGATGATTATCACAAACTTAGCGGCCCTCGGCACCTCGTTTTTCATTTATCTCTTCGTATCCAACGCGGGATCTTAATAATTCTTAATTGTTTCCCTCAAATAAATACCGATATTTTGTGGCCCCCGTCCGGGGTAATACATTATCATCTTAAATCGTCAAAGATTGCTGCAGTTTACTTGTTAGATTGAGCATATTTAGGCCACTCCAAAAATATGTCGAGTCCCAATAATGAAAGCAACTTTTAAAAATGGCTTCAAGTTAACATTTTTTCAGGTGATTCCTCAGAAACAAAACGATTTCTTTGAACCTTTCCCCAAATATTCCCTTCCAAGGATCGTTTTGGGAAGGAATGTCCACTTTCCAAATGGCAACGTTTGTTAAGGAAATACTTGAAAAAAAACTTGATAGGTAGAGTCTCGAGCATATAGAACAATGTAATATGGAACACATTGAGGAGGTCGGCGCCCTTGGTTTCTGAATAAGAGGAATACATGTATGTGATAATCAAGTGTGCAGTTACAAAAGGCACTTTGAAGAAGTGGCAGAGACTTTCCAAATTCAAACACCCAGTCAAGAGAGGAATGAGGAGAATAAGTATTAATTTTTAGAGGCATTTCTCTGGCGGGCCAGAGGCCTAGAGCACCCACTATTCTGGTACCCTAACTGCACAATGACCTACTTTGCCTCGCTATATTTTGGAAATGCAAACTCTGTTTAGGAATTTCTCCTCATTTATCTCTGAAATTTGCAGTTAAGATCATGTGAAGGAGATTATTACTGCAGGCATTCGGGGAACGCCCACTATTATTCTCACATTGGTTCCCATGACAATTATCACTAACGGTCTGATGGACTAAAATAACCTTTAATTTACAATCCGAGGACGATATTCTGGTTCCAGTGAAAACGCAGGATTCGTTTCTTTTATTATCTAATTCGTGACCGGGAAATTTCTTGACATCACAAGACTAGAACGGCTTGCTCGTGATATTTCGTTTTTGTTCTCTTATTTCCTAATAAAATCAGATAGCCCAAGATACCGTGTATCTATTTCAAATAGAATTTTAACATCTAATTCCAGAACAAATTATCTTATTTTACGAAATGGCGTCTTTTTAAATTTCAAAAGGTAACAGGTTGCTTAATGAACCATCAGGCCTGTCTTTGCTGTGTATTGGTGGTCGAGTAGATACCAACTAAGTCAACATTTCACGGACCTTCCCACATTTAATTTAAAAACGTACCTCCCTTTTGTCGTGAATGAGCCAATGCGGGCTCAGTTAGAATGTGGCGTGAGTTTCAGATTTTGTCCTTTCGTTATTAAGATTAAAGTGTTTTATTCTTGAATTGGTTGTCAATTTAAAAGAAATTTGCCTACCTGCGCGTTCTGCTTTTCTGATTTTGAATGTTCTCGATATACATTGCATAAAAAAGAAATTTCACACATAAACAAACAAAGATAAAGTACGCGTTTTCTAACCTATATAAAAACCTCAAAACACCAATGGCAAGCGAAGAAACCAACTAACCCATGCATAACTAATGGTGTGCCTCTTACATCATTTGAGTTGACAGCAAATACCATCATCATATTACGACCACAGACGTTCTGATAATAATCATGGCTTCAAAATGGTTTTCGATGCCCATTGAATTTTCTTTAAATGGCCTGCTGTTGGAGCAATAATTTGTAACATGTAGTAGCACGAATGACTTGTCGTTCCACCGATATTAAAGGTAAGAAAGATACTTCCTTGTATCACGATGGTAATGATGGACAAATGTTACCTATTTTTATTTATTAGTAATTAAGTTATTCTTATCTGATCAGAGCATCTCAACTTCTCTCTTTAACTGAATTTGCTAATACAAGAAGCTAATTTTCCAGATATGATAAGTTTAGATTTAGTTTATTATCCTTAATTTAAGTAGGGTTTTAAGGTTCTATTAAAATTTGAAGGTTTACGATTTTGATAACCTCGTGCGCGTTTCGATTTTTCCGCTGTAAAGTAGCCAACTGATCTTCTAAATACGACAAACGACAACCTTCCTAAATACCGCTTACTCAGCCACTATTGATATATTACACGGTAACTGCAGTTGACTGCGGGTGAAGACCATCGTCTGTCGAGTAGCTAATTGATTACTGATTTTCTCTTTCGCTTTTATTTTTGCAGGAAACAGTTAGAATGAAGTTTACGTTAACAACAGCTGTTTTGATTTCCTTACATGGACTGCTTTGCAATGGTAAGAATTCTACAGTGTACATCTAGCTATTTTGTCTCGAAAACAAATGAACGTTGGTCGATACTCCTAGATAAAGGAAATATAACTGCTCATTGTAAACCGATATATAATTTATTTGTTTATAGGGCTTCGGAATCACGAAGAGAAAATCGTAAGAGCAAACAAATTGACTCGATTTTTCCAGGAAAACAACAGCAGTCTGTCTACAATGGAAAACTACACCAAAAAAGTCGATAAGGAGACAGACAAACATGAGTCACGTGTGATAAATGCTACAGCCGAGAAAGACGAAGATCCGAAGGGTGTTAAACTAATCTCCAAAATTAAAAACTTTGAAACACAGAAAGAAACAAAGCAAAAGGATCAGACAAAGCATTCGCCAATCTCTAAGCAAGCTCTAAATGAAACTGTAAGTAGCAACACGACACACACAGAAATCAACAAAACTCGACACAAGAAAACTAACAAAGATGAAAAGAAACAAAAAGCTGTCATTCGTCAAATGTTATGCGAGCTTTTCAATATTTCAAGAAAGAGCGAGGCCTGCAAAGACATGCACCATTCCAAGAAGGCAATGATATGGCCAACCAAAATGATACCATGGTTAAGAAAGGTGCTAATTAACAAGCTTAATCGCGGATTCAACAATCGCATGTCTTTCATGGATAACTTGGAAGATCCTACAGAGTCGCAGTTCAACGGTAGAGGCGTGTCTGACAACTGGGATGGTAATCCCTTTCTAAATATGCATAGGAAACATCGCCACGGTCTCAAAATGGTTCCTTTGTTAAAGTCATTGAAGGCAAAGTTGTATGGTCAAAGACCGCCTGGTGATTTCGGGAGTCTTAACGATGCTTTAAATGGCGAAGGACTCAATGGATTTGGACCTATGCCGACTCAAAGCAGCTCGCACCTTATTCATCAAATTCTAGGTCAGGCCTTAGGAAGTTCAGACAGAAATTCAGTTTTAAACGAAATGATGCAAGAGTTTCTTCTTGCAAACAACCGCGAAGAAAGCGAAGGTAACGAAGGATTTGCTGACTTCGCAGGAAGAAATAGCCTTTCTCAACTTAACAATGGTCTTCAGAGTTCTCCAGTCCTACCAGAACCCAGCCAAGGTATCGGTATGGGGCAATTAGGTGCCATGAACATGTTTCAAGGTAATATGAGATCACCTTTGGCGTCGGAACAACCTATTCATGCACAAATGTTAGACAACGGTGCCATAGCACCGATGTCCAGTCAGTCAATAGTCAACTCCCCCGCCTCGTCCTTTTTCGGGGGTCGTTCTCCCATAGACAGGTCCGGGCTTATCGGAAGCCCCCTTAGAATGGCAACTATGTCTGCCACGTCAATCAGCTCGCCAACATCAAGAAGTTCTCAACTTCAAAACTCTGTCCTACAAGCATCCCAGCGTGGAGGTTCACTTCTGCAAAGAGCTGGCGGATTTGACACCCCAATATCGTCATCCGTGTTAGAGCACACGGCAAACCCAACTCAGCGGATGTATACTGAAGGTGAAGAAGAGGAGCAAGACATTTCAAGCCAGGAAGGCAACTTCATTGAGCGGGATGAAGCCAATGAAAGGCGTTTGCCACTGCGTCAACCAGTGGGTCATAATATGGTTATGGAAGAAATTAGTGACAATATGGCAAGAGGCGTCAACCTTCCAGTGCAAAATAACCCGGATCTAAATCGTATGTTAAAGTTACGGTCTAACTTTCGATCAACAGGGAGCCCTGTCATATCAAAAGTGTCTCGTCTTGAACTTGATAATAATTTAGAACATAGACTACGTCTGCCAGTTGCCTCCAACACGATGGGAATGGCTTCTGTCTTATCCAAGGATGAAGACGCCATAAATTTCGAAGATTTGAACAATGAACGTTCACTTGCATTCAGGAGGGGAAAAGTCTTAAAGGGAATAGGCAATTCGCATTTGCTTCCTAACGAATCTAAAACAATCCATGATAAAGCGAGCAAAGCCAAGAATGGTTGAAAATCCCGTCACACATAAAATAAAACCTCGTTACTTTTGGCCTAAATCTAAGATCTTAGATAAATTGTTTCCACGACAAACTGTATTAACCTCCTACTAACCGAGTGCGAGGGCCGTACTGGGGGATATTGGTCCGAGGACGGGTCAATATTTCGCAATACGGCTCGAGCAAGCTAGGTTAATAAGTAGCTTATTATATGGCTCCCCAACCTTGAATTCGTCAGCTTTCAAAAACAAAAAATACACGGCTTATGACGGTTTCTATGGAAACGTTGCGTGTGGCAAAATCTCATCCAAGAAAGAACCAATCAGAACGTCCGGATCTGCCTCAATACTTTCTTGCCATGTGATAATTGTGTTTAATTTTGTATATTTGTTCAAAAAGTATCAAGATAAAGCGAGATTAGTGAGGAACTAAATCAAATGGCTTTGGTCGAAAGCAAACAAGAATATAGTGTAAATTAAGGGCAAAGATCTGCCCTTGATCCCTATGAACAGGTCACTTAATTAATAGAGAAAGCATGTAACGCATGGAGAATTGAAATCAGCGTCGTTTCTGGAGATACAGAACTGCGATATGTTCTTTAATATAATCGTGGGATTTTTATTTCACACTCAACGAGCTAGGGATAGCTGGGTTATATTTTTGATTTCGCACCACAAGTAGAGATTAATCATCATCAATCATCATTCACCAGCTTATCTTGAGCGTATAAATTAGAAATTTATAAGCTTTATTATAAGCTTTATGAAATTTTAAAGAACACGATGTTTCGATCAATTTCAGCTGTTTTAAAGGAATTTCAAAAACTGTCAAGGAGCGGCAAGTTGATTGAAATAAGGAATTAAAAGATATCCTGTTGTAATTTCAAGGGCCCGTCTTTCGGGTGCTATTGCAGTCATAGTCAAGGTATACCAGCCACAGTCACATTACCTTATTTGTCAGTATACCTCTACTTCACCTAATCAAAGGCTTGCTGATCTTTCTCATGTGAAAGAGTTTTATTTTTTAATTTTACATTTTCTAACGAAATAAAATTTTTTTCTGCCACCTTTGGCTGTGTAAAGCCGTCTACCAACTCTAAATATAAACAGACGTGTGAATAATAACGAGATATAGTTTTTTGCCTACCGGGAAAATACATACACATCGTAATGCTGAATGGAGCGCGCCGGCCAGAGGGTGAATCCCTAACTTTATTTCTTCTAAAAATGATGTGAAATGTCAAAGAAGTCATAACTTCTCCCGAAAATAACCTCACCTCATTTAAAACAAATATAAGCTTAGGCTTTGTAACGAACTTGTAAGATATAAAACTTCCCTACCAATCCCAGCCTAACAAACAATATCCCCTTTATTTATTCCAGACTATGACAGCCTCACCATAACGTATCGAGTCTCCAGACCTTTGTTGTAAAGCTAAGTGTCAAAAGGAAATTTTCTCATTGGAGATTGTTTTAGCTCGGTTACACCTATTTTACTTCAATAAATTATGCTACGGTAGTTGCTCCAGGGGGAGGGAGAGCCAAATGCAAAATGTTTCTTTGAAGACAAGAACACCGGCCCAACGGTGCCAATTAACCCTTTGGTAGACCGGAGGCGACCAAAAATTGTAATACGCATCAAGGATACGTTTTTCACCTAYACTGAGGTGCATGCACACCACACAATAGACCATATTCATATTCTCGGCATTGGACTGAAACTAGCTTGCAACTGAGGCTAATTAGGGGAGTCTCTTCAAATGCAAATGATATTCCCCCGCATGAACCTCCATTGCAATCTAGTTCCAGTCCAATATCAAGAATACGGATATGCTCCATTATAACAGAAAAAGGCTTGATGCAATGTATACAAGCATACCCATGATATGGTTCCCTTCGACAAGTAAAAATTATGTCACTAAACGCACAGGGTACTGGTAACTGGCTCGAATTCTTAGGATAAGTGTAGTCTTAATGCAATTCTAAACTTACGGGTTTTTCCTTTCGAACATGTCTGAAGTCCGTGTCAATCTTTCGGGTCATCGAGCGCAGCAAACCTGCAGTATTCAGTTTCCGGGGGCCGATATGTTTGGGTCGATGCAATCTGGCGCTCCTTCGCACTGACTATGCTTCTAGCATTACTTACAAAGGTCCTGTTCTGTATTTGCTTCTTTCATTTAGTCTCTGAATTTGATTTCCGTACATTTTAAATGTACAAAAGTCACAAAATAATCTCGACGAAAATGAACTCGGGCAATTTTCGAATTCCTTGGCCCGTAACGAAGATACTCATGGAACTTTTCAAGAATTAAAGTACCAATCACGGAAAACCAGGTTTTAGTGACCTTCCTTCCAAGTGAGCAAGAAAATGCAATCTCCTGCATCGAACCTCTTCAAAACCGGCTTGTCCACAACAGAACACCAGCCGGTGAAATTATGTATTTCTCCCAAAAGATCACTGATCCTCAAAGAAATAAATATTTATCACTTCACTACGTTAGAGCTGTTGAGATAATGGAAGTAGAATGCATCTCAAAAACCGGAAGGCAAGAATCGAACATCTTTTAAAATTTTTGGATTATTGAAATTCATGGCTACAAAATGAGGTGAGGTGAATAAAAAATGGTAACTATCAGATAATAGTATTTAGAAATCTTCTTATCGTACACGTGAAATGAGAGCATTTTGACATTTTCAGGTGCTTTGAATATTATATTCTTGAAGACAAGAAAACCATAGTGCTTAATCCACTAACATTTGCCCTGATCAGAGTGCTAAAATACTGCTATTCACAGAAATCGTTGTGAGATGTAAGTCTGTGTGGTTTGTTTTGGCTTATTCTTCACTCTGTGGGCTAGTTATTTTGAAGGCTAGCAAAACAATGTGACACATGTTTGATTTAGTTTTTAAAGCAGGTGGTTGAAGAATTTTGGAAACGTTAAATTCATGAGATAAATCTCCCAACACCTGAGATATTGTTTCGTTCTCATTTAGTCCTTTGTTCCATTCGTGAGTCTACCATATATATTGTTTTACATATCTATATATCTTACTATTACTCTTTAAAGAGCGGAACGTAACATTGTGGTGAACCTGCTAGTCTTTGTCTTGGCGGAGGGACTCTTATTAGTTTCAGCAGGTAAGCATTCACATTTGTGTTTCCACCGACAACTTCTCACTTTTGTTGTGTCCTTAATTTCTAGAACAATTACGTTTCTTTAGTCAAAATATAAAAATAACATGGAAAGCCTACGACGCAACGGAAAAATATCGAATGCTTTGTTAATTTACTCGCAAGCTGTAAGTAACAATAAACGATCAAACGGCGTTGAACCTTTATTGAGTTTACAACCAAGCTCGCCGAATCAATCAATGCACAAATTGCAGCGTCTTTGAATCGAAAATGAAATCAAGACATTGCTAGCTGGAAACAGAAAACCCTCGATATTTGATGAAAGTAGACAGCAGTTTAGAAGAACTTAGGCGCTACCTTGATGCAAGTGTCTTCATTTGTATGATAAAGAGTGACGTCCCTGAGAAATACGAAAGCTTAGGACATCGAGTTAATAAAACAGAAAAATTGTAACGCTTACTAACGCAATTAGTTTAATTTATTACAGGATCTGAATCACCTATACACTCTTTTTCCCCTCACAACAATGGCTTAAAAGAGAAGACAGATTTGTCTCATTCCTTGAAGACAAACGAGAACCTAAAACGGGAGCGTTCTTATAAAGTTAACAACGAATTTGTAAGAAGAATAGCAAACAGATGGTTTGCTACCGAACATAAAGCAAGGAAGCATTCCGAGGTCGCTGATGGGAGTGGTATGGTGGAAGGGAATAGAATGGGTCAACAACATGATAACAGAAACGATGGATCTGTTGGTAAATACGAAACTAATGCATCCACAACCTCTCAAACTCCCCATTTAATTGCTGATTACGGAATTCTAGGAATTTCAGATGACGAAGACAGCGTTAAGTGGGCATCTGATGAGATGAAAAAGGCAGCAGCAAACAAAGAGAGAACTTCAGGGGAAATCCAAAGCACGGAAAATGCCCGAAATGCTTCCCCTATGGCAAATATGTCGAAACAAATCTCAATGAAAGACAGCTCACAGGACTTGGAAACTTCTGTGAAGATAGCACCTGCTAATTCAACTGAAAAAAATGTTGCCAAAGTAAACGATCTTCAGCCTTCCAGTGGTAACATAACTGGAAGAGGAAATAGTACAGACTTACTGTTCCAGGTCACGAATTTGCCCGAAAGTGAAAAAGCTCCGATTGCATTTCGAAATGCGACTTCGGCGGATGGTTCAGAACTAAAAAATATCACAGCAAAGGGAAAGAGGCCTGGCTCTATGATTCATAACACAACTCTGGCAAATGTTCAACAGCTTCTTAAATCTAATACCACTGTTAATCACATGGCACAGCAGTTGAATACAACTCCGGAAATGAAAATAATCAAATACAATGAATCAATTTCAAACGTAGCAATGCATCACACAGTGTCTGAGGCTGTACAAAATAACGCACCAGGAAATGCAACATCAGAGTCAAAGCTTAGGACAGTAGACAACCAGACAGTGTATACCAGCCTGTTGCCGCAGAAAAACCGAACACAACTCAGTGAGCAGTTTTCGGCGCAAGCGCAAGCTCCTTCGCTTGAAATTAACGTTACAAGTCTGAGAAAAGGTCAATCGTTTGACCTACAGATACCGAGTTCAATACCTTCCAAAGGCTCTTATCAGGATAATCACTTTCACTTTGAGCCAAAAGATACTCTCAGTTCATCTGAATACTCACCAGAGGATTTAGAGAAAAACTCTAACAACAGTTTCTTCCTAAATGCAACTCTTAATATGGTCAGTGCGGAAGAGCAAGAGAAAGTAATGCAACCTGACAAGTTTCTACAAAAGCTCAATTCAGATATACTTGCTTCCAGAGCAGAATCTTTGACAAATAATGAAAACTTGGGTAGTGAGGTTACGGATGAGACTTTTCGCGAAGAA